CTACTTTTGTAATCATCCAACACCCTACCGTCTGCGCTAAAAACTGATTCTAAAACAACTGTGGTTATAGGTATTGATAGAATATCTTGAGCCATAATTGAAAGTTAGGGGTACTTCAATGTATTAATCTTTCACGAATCGAGCACATCAAAATTTTCATTAGCACACACAAATAATCCCTCAATGTATATTTGTAAATCGGGTTTTGATGGTTCCACAGAACCAGAAGCTACAACAAAATCTTGAAACTCAAACATTACTTCGAAATGACTCGAGGAACACGTAGGATCAACTACACATGAAACATTGCAATCAATAATATAATCTGCATATATTTCCCACAAGACATCTTGAACTGTTTTAGGATTTTGCTCAACTTCGTCATGTGAGTATATCTTCGTGAATGTGCAGCTAATAAATTTTAATATTATTCTAGGATCCAAAATTGCTGCAATAGACATAAGAAGATTATATTCCCTCCAATATTTGTTGAATTTGATTTGCATACTCACAGTCATATTCCTCATGTAATCATCTTCTGGCAATGACTCCTCAATCAAAATCTTCTTAACATGCAAAACTGCAAGTAAAAATATATTGGAAGTAGGATATAGAGTGTCGGACATCATTTTTGTAACATTATTGAAAACTGAAAGAAATTTTCTGATTTTTTCATATTTAACACATTCTGAATCAACAGACAGTCATTTGTAGTTACTATCTCGAATTGTGTATTGATAAAAAAACATTGCGATAAATAAATGCGGACTCCAACATGTTGAAAGTTGAGTTCAATCTAGTGGAAACATCAATGGACAGTGACATTATAGTTGCAACTACTAATTATTTTGCCACTTATACAAACTTATGCAATATTGCAAGGGATTTTTCAGATACTTCACAGACTCTCTGATATTTTGGATGATTTCATGAACCTCTTTTAGCCCATCTTGGACCATTATATTGATGATATGTGCGTAGCATCTTACAGGAAAAAAAAAACCACAGAAGTGCAGTTTTCTGCGTGATTGAAAATTCGCTTTTAAAGAACTAGCTGTCACGTCATTATTACTCAAATTCTCTAAAGTAATTGTAGATATTTTATCTTGAAGCTTCCACTCCAACAAACACTCACAAATAACATCACAAATGTAAGTGTCGGTATGTTGAGGCTCTAACTCAATAAAGTTGATAATAACCTTCTTTATCTTCCATGTTTCATCGATATAATATGCAGTCAAACACATATATCCGATAGTCTGATTGGAGGTCCAACAATCTGCAGTTAATGAGACCCTGCGAACATCTTTAAGGCGAGATTTAAGTTTTTCTTTCTCGCACTCATAAACTTCCATGCAATCATTTTTTATTGTGTTTCTTGAAACATTTTGAAAGTTAGGATTCAACATTTTCAACAATATATTGAACCAAATATGCTTAACCATCGTGAATGGATACTCATTTACAATTATCATCTTTGCAATCACATCTCTTAAGAGTTGAGATCATAGAAAATAAAAATATCTGCTTCAGAATAGGAAACTCTGATTCACCCTGAACTTCCAAAGGCAAGAAGTTCAGTAACTTTTGTCTCTTGTCTGATAAGTCAACTTGTTTTTGACTCTTTGCTTTTATATTAGCACATACCTTAACATGCCTAAGAAGTTGCGAGGTTGTACCTGACTTTGGTTTGACGATTTTCACCCCATAGCAAATGTGTTGAACATTTGATACTTCAACCCCTTTTGAAATTGATTTAATTTCTATAAAATACTCCCAGACAACTGATTTTATGTTCCTATCTTTCGTACCTTGTATTTCAGTACTAGTGCTTCCAACTGATTTTATGTTCCTATCTTTCGTATCTTGTATTTCAGTACTAGTGCTTCCAACAGTCAGTTCAATAGATTGAGAACTATCAATTCCTTCTTGTGTTGCAAGTGACAAATGTTCGTCATTGAGTACAAATTGAGAAAGTTCAACATTTAACATTGTAAATATTTATACAAAAAAATATAATATTAAATGATGTGTAATATACAAAAAAAAAAGTAAATGCCCTTCAAATAAAAAAGAAAATTAAAAGAACATGATGGGTAAGATACTTTTGTTATTTACAAATTATATCTCATACTGTTCAAAAAAAGCATGCCTTTAAGGGAGCCTAAGGTTGCAATATGTAAATTTACCCTAATGTTCGTCAAAAAGCACCAAATGGCGTCAACTATAAAGTATATTGAGCTAGATCTATTGCCTTTAGCTGTTTTTTTACTGCAATAAAATGATAAAACTCGAAGGGAAGATACGATACCCCTGAAAGTTGAGCCCAAGAAGCAAGACTCGATGGGAAGCTACCATGCCATTGGAAGTCGAGCCTGAGAATCAAGACTCAACGAAAAGCTACAGTACTTCTAGAAGTCCAGCCCAAGTGGCAAGGCTCGACGAGAAACTACCATGACCCTGAAAGTCAAGCCCAAGGGGTAAGACTCGATGAGAATATATGTACTCCTGGAAGTTGAGCCCAAGAGACAAGACTCGATGGAAATATACGGTACTCTTGAAAGTCAAGACCAAGAGGAAAGACTCAATAAAAAGTTATCATGCCCATGGAAGTCGAGCCCAAGAGGCAAGACTCGACGGGAAGATACAGTATTACCGGAAGTCGAGCCCAAGAGGCAAGACTCGACGGGAAGATACAATATTACTTGAAGTCGAGCCCAAGTGGCAAGACTCAACGAGAAGCTATCATGCCCATGGAAGTCAAGCCCAAGAGCCAAGACTCGATAGGAAGATACAATATTTTTGGAAGTCGAGCCAAAGAGGCAAAATTTAATGAGAAGATATAGTACTCCTAGAAGTCAAGCCCAAGAGACAAGAATAGATGAGAAGTTACCATGCCCCTGGAAGAAGAGCCCAAGAAACAAGTCTCGATGGGAAGCTAGTAGTGGATAGGATCTTCAATAGAAAGACTCCACGAGAGCATGTGGTTGATAGTGTCTCCAATCAAAGACCTCAGAAGGCTATAAGCCTCAAAAGACACAATACATCAAAGACCTCGGAATTCTATAAGCCTCAGAAAGCACAGGTACATCAAAGACCTCATAAGACTATAAGTCTCAGGAGACACATATACATCATAGATCTCAGAAGACTACGAGTCTCAGAACTATAAGTCTCAGGAGACACAGATACATCATAGATCTCAGAAGACTACGAGTCTCAGAAAGTATCAGCGAATTTCAGATCTCAGAAGGCACAAGCTTCGAAAGATACACACCGAGGAAATAAACCTTAGAAAAACACAATTCTAAAAAGATACGTGATTCTTTTTATAAAGTACACGTGCTAACTTTAATTGCAAAATTCTGCACTATTGAGAAGCCACAACATCCCAAATGAGGGCAAATCATAGTTCAGAAGCAACATACAATTTTTTTGCATCGAGCTGGAGAAAAACATACAGACAGACACATCATCATCATATGCAAATTTCATATCAGGCAATTGAAAGGCTACAAAGCCTAACATATACTTGAACAAAGGTTACAACAAAGCAACACATCTTCGAGTGGAGTCAGCATCACCTTCTCGAAATTCTAGTAACTTTACAGAGCTTCAGGGAGTCTCCAGATATCATCATCACAGAAAAATTAAAATCTCCTCTCAAAGCGCGACGGGAAAAACTCCAACATTTCTTCATCCCCATCAGAATGTGCAACAACAACAAGGAAGAAGATCTTGAATCACATACTGGGTAGGGACGGGGATAGTTTTCATCTCCACGATGCGAAAGAAGATCTCATTGTTTGTGTCCTACGCAGGACAGTGACGACTTTCAACTGCACTGCAACGAGAAAGATCCAGTTGCTCATCTGTTACGCAGGACGTGGAAAACTTTCTCCAGCACCGCAACGCGAAAGATCTCATTGCACGTCTGCTATGCGGGATGAGGGCGACTTTCAACTGCACCACAACGCGAAAGATTTCAATGCTCTCCTGTTACGCAAGATGGTGACAACTTTCAAATGTCTTGCAATGCAAAAGATTTCATTGCTCGTCTGCTACGTAGAACGGAGTGACTTTCTCCCGCACTGCAACGCGAAAGAAGATCTCGTTGTTCGCCTACTGTGTAAGATGAGGATGACTATCTTCTACAACGCAACACAAAAGAAGATCCCGTTGTCTGTTTGGTATGTAGGTCAATGACGACCTTCTTCTTCAGGGAAATCCCAGATCACTTGCTAGGCAGAGATGATGACTCCACCTCTCCTTCATGCCTATTTACAGGCTCAAAAAGTGATTCAGCCATTAAATGCTCGTTTAAAAAACCTCTCCTTCATGCCTATTTACAGGCACAAAAAGTGATTCAGCCATTAAATGCTCGTTTAAAAAATAAAAAAAAATCAACTCCCTCCAGCTGCGCTTTCTCTTCCCGTTGTTCGACTCCAACCCATGCTTCCCGACGACCCGATTAGCTTCCTGCTGTTTGGCGATCCCGCTCACAATTCCGTCGGCCCACCCTCTATCGCCATTTCCTAATTTCGCCCGTCATCGGATCTGTGCAAAAGCTATGTTATATGTTATGCATGGACTTATCACTTATGCGTGTAATTAAAAGGATTATCGAAGCAAATAAAAGACTCATATTTGGAAACATTATCAAACCAATAGGAAAACTATCAGAGCATTTAAAAAATTATCAGACCATTGCGTAAAAAATTATATATTAATATTTTTGGACGATGAAATTGATCTCGTCCGAAAATAGAGGGCATTTGATACGTCGTCAACAAACTTCTATTATTCAACACGAATCTTGAAGTAATTTTTTGAGCAAGAAATATTGAAACTTCAATCAAGAGTCGTCCAGAGTTCTAATTTCAGCAAACTTATAGTCAAACTAATTGGCTCGATGAGATGGATCTGATGATTAATTAAGTTAATTGAGTTAAAAATGACAATGAATTTGGCTCGATGAGATGGATCTGATGATTAATTAAGTTAATTGAGTTAAAAATGACAATGAATTAAGTTAATTTATTTAAATTGGGTAAGTTAATAAATATATACTAATAAAATAAATATATAAATGATAATTAATCTTAAAATATTATTGATATAACATATTACTACTAAATTCTAATTAATAAGTTTTATTTAAATAATACATCATATATGATATGAACTTCTTATCGAACTTAATATCGAGTATTTAACAAATTACATTGAACAACGAATAAGATTATTTATGAACATAAATAAACAAATTGGACTATGTTTCATTTAACCTTCAAGTTTTAAAAAAACGTGTTCAAATTTATTTATTTATAAATTTAAACAAAGTTTTAAACGAGTTTGAGTTGTTCATCAGGCGCATTGCTTCATTTACAGCCCTACCTATGTTATATATTATTTACATCCTATGTTCTGATGAAAAAACAACTTCCATCTCTTGCAAAAATCTCTTTTAAGGAGTTAGTTTGCTACAAAGGACTTATGAATAATTAAGGTTTCAGAACTATAACGTATCTTTTTCTATATTATTTCTTATTTTCTAATGTAAAAGAACTACAAATAAAAATGTAATATGATGAAAGATTTATAATCAATGATCTTTTAAATGCTGGTTGTCAAAGCACAAATCACACATTTGATTTGACACCAATATCATATAAAGTTGAATATATTTGACAAGCCATCGTTTCTCAATAACTAACCTTACATGCATTTGGAATGAAAAGGAATCCATTTTATTATAATTTGTTCAACACATATAAACAAGATCTTCATCAGGATCCAGCACCTATCATGTTATAATACAGAGTCATCCAGCCACATGAAAAACAGCCTCACACCTGCGTAAATGAGGTGGGCCATGGTGAATATATTGAAATGAATCCATATCTACGTGCATACCACCAAATTTCTATATATTTACATATCTAAAGGCTAAAATTTACTTTCTACATTTATACTACCCAATTGTTTCATATCTCGTCAAAAATACCACCATGTTAACTTTTAAAAAGGGAAATACACATTTTCATGCATGGCTAAGGTTGGATGAAAGTAAAAAAAATGAACTTTGGGCATTAGATATGTAAATACATAAGAATTAAGTGGTATGCATGTAAATATTTCTAATAATAACAGTAATAATTGATTGGAAATAATTTCAGTTTGAGGTTAAATACATAACAAATCCCATGAGAGGTTAGCATACCAAGAAGAAAATCATCAGCAGGAATGAGTGCTTAACAATGAGTGCTTAACGATTCATTCTTTCCAGGAATACGGAGCACGATCAACCACTAAGTAATCTCCTCGAATGTCTTTGGCAACTCTGATCTCTTCATCCATATATATAGATTCAAACCTTAAAATAAACAAAAAGTTTCTGTTAAAAATTTTGAATAACAAAAATAACAGCATACAGTTCATGGAACCAAAGTATTTCATGATTATCTTTCATCCTTAAAAGAAGGAAAATACATCAAAAAACCATTTTCATTTCATCAAGCAACCTAATTCTTCATCTTCCCACTACAAATTGTCAGATAGTTGAACAAAAAGAGGTTAGATGAAACTAAACTTATTTGTAATAAAAACAGATAAACCCTGTAATATAATTGACCAGTAGTTGCAAAACAAATGATTTCATCAAAATTATTGTTAAAAGTGTAGAACATGTTGAAATAACCATGCAATGCTCGTGCCCCTTCAACGACGGTAGTTAGTAGAGACTAAATGCAATCCAACTAAGTTGGATTTAAGAGATGATTGTTTCTTCAGCCCTACCAGACAGTCTTAAACATAAGCAAATTAGTTATAAAATAAATTTAAAAATTTCGTGTTTGGTGTTGCTGTATTAGTTCAAGGCATCTTCTAAAAAAAAGAACAGAGTCCTCTATCAATAAAGCAACTTTAAATGTTAAATTTATAGTATTCATCAACAAAGATAAACTAAAATGTTGAAAATAAATACACTACAAATGCTCTTTTGCTTAAAAATTGCAAGATGGTTGTTAATTAGAGAATTTTCAGTTGTCTGATTGTTTAAAAGATAAAGATGTGATTTTGTGTGTTTAAGAGATAAAGATTTGATTTAATTATCTACAGCTAAAGGTTTCAAAAATGGCTATTGAAGACTTCAGAAGACCCAGCCCCGTTTAACCCATCTTTTTAAAGCTTTTGAAATGATATTTGAAAGAAACAAGAAGTTAAGACGATACTTTAATGCTTCCTTTAAATGAAAATTACAAAATAATTCATTCAAACCGATCCAATCGCGTGATGAATAGTACATTTAAGGGATAACACAACATGGATATAACAAAGATGGAAGAAACATTACATGATTTGGAACATATAAGACGGCTTTTCTGGTTCATAAATTGATGATCTCTAAATCGGTTAGTTTCAATGATTCTGCCAGTATGAAAAGTTGTAACAGGCATTATTGATTTAGATGCTTGAAACAGTGTCTCGGTGGGCATATTTTACATTCAATACTCTTACTTTTGAAATTTACATGATTGAAGTAGGTCTGAAATTGAATGTGGAACCATGCAAAAAATTACCAAGGCCTTAACTGATTTCAGAATATTACTTCAACTGAATTGTTTCAATAAGTTGACTCAGTCGTGTTTTGGACTAATGAGTTGAGCTGCTCATTACAGCGGTACAGCGAAATAAGGTCAGTTCATTTGGATAACTGCATTTCTGCAAAAAATAAAGCAGTAAAAGGAAAACCTTCATGGTGCAAAAGAGATCTACTAATCTTGAGATTTGCAACAGGAAAAATGATTTCACAATCCATAATTTACTAGCCATTGATCTTTTCATTTATGAATTATATTGCACCACCATAAACCCTCCTTTTTTTCAGCTAATTCATAAGCTGTGCTTTTGTTTCCATCAAATAGACAGTGAAGTCAAGAGTTAAGTAGGTTTCTTCAGAATTTCAGGTTCTTAACAGCCCTATAGCAAAATTAAATAAGGTAATAAAACTGTGATTTATTCAAAAAGTGAGAAAAAAAACTTCATTTTTAGTAATTAGCACTCCTACAATCCCCTCAATTAACAAAACAGTCTGATAAATTCAGGGAGAAATCAAGGGTTCAGGAAACTTACCATCCTTGACCAAAGGGCGGCAATGGAATCTCCCATTTACTTCCCCTAAGAACTGCACTAGTAAATCTGCTCCCAAAAACCAATATGCCAAACAAATTATAATCAGCAAAAGTGCTCACACAGTTTCTCGCTAAAATTTGTAGTAAAAGCAAAAGAAATTTAAGATATTCTGCAACAAAATCTCAGAACAACAATCCAATACCTAAAATTTACCCTCTGAGGCGGCTCCACTTCAATCTCCGACCTAACAAAGAAAACCCCAGAAGGCGGAAACGTGATGACATTGTTGAGAAGACCCTTCTCGACATCAATGACCTGCAAAACGTCACCAGCCTCAGTGCCGAAGAGCCGAGCATTCTTGATAATGAATAGTTGCTCCTTCTCCGTCGTCCAAAGCATTCTCCATGTGCCGGAGAGAGACGAGTCGGTCGTCACAGTGCCATCACCGAGCACAGCGAGATCATCGATGGCGCGGATGATCTCTTCTCTCTTCGAGGGGTTTGTTTGCGTCCGAAGACCTCTCTCCTGGCTCGATATGAGACGCAGGAGATCAGCCTTTGCACGGAGGGAATCGCCAGAGGTTTCAGCTAATTCATAAGCTGTGCTTTTGTTTCCATCAAATAGACAGTGAAGTCAAGAGTTAAGTAGGTTTCTTCAGAATTTCAGGTTCTTAACAGCCCTATAGCAAAATTAAATAAGGTAATAAAACTGTGATTTATTCAAAAAGTGAGAAAAAAAACTTCATTTTTAGTAATTAGCACTCCTACAATCCCCTCAATTAACAAAACAGTCTGATAAATTCAGGGAGAAATCAAGGGTTCAGGAAACTTACCATCCTTGACCAAAGGGCGGCAATGGAATCTCCCATTTACTTCCCCTAAGAACTGCACTAGTAAATCTGCTCCCAAAAACCAATATGCCAAACAAATTACAATCAGCAAAAGTGCTCACACAGTTTCTCGCTAAAATTTGTAGTAAAAGCAAAAGAAATTTAAGATATTCTGCAACAAAATCTCAGAACAACAATCCAATACCTAAAATTTACCCTCTGAGGCGGCTCCACTTCAATCTCCGACCTAACAAAGAATACCCCAGAAGGCGGAAACGTGATGACATTGTTGAGAAGACCCTTCTCGACATCAATGACCTGCAAAACGTCACCAGCCTCAGTGCCGAAGAGCCGAGCATTCTTGATAATGAATAGTTGCTCCTTCTCCGTCGTCCAAAGCATTCTCCATGTGCCGGAGAGAGACGAGTCGGTCGTCACAGTGCCATCACCGAGCACAGCGAGATCATCGATGGCGCGGATGATCTCTTCTCTCTTCGAGGGGTTTGTTTGCGTCCGAAGACCTCTCTCCTGGCTCGATATGAGACGCAGGAGATCAGCCTTTGCACGGAGGGAATCGCCAGAGGTGACGGTTCGGGAGGGAGAAGCTGAGCAGAAGGCGGGGGAGAGGGGTCGTATGATGAGAAGTTGATTGATTTTAGGGATTTGGGGGAAAGTGGCTGCAAGAGAAATGGAGTGAGGCGCCATGGATTTTATGCGGGAGCTAGCAGCCTAGTTAACTGTCAATGTGTGTGATAACAGAATGATTCCGGCTGAACCACAAAAATTTTCCCAGATTTTCCCAAAATTTTTCATTATTTCTTTTTTATTTGAAAATGATGGAACACGCCCAACTTTCCATTATGTAGAGAACAACTCAAAAATTACAACGAAAATAACATGAACCAGTAATGCTGAAGAAGATGGAATCATAAATGGAGAAAATATTGTATGTCAGTGTCCAGACAAAGAAAGCGATAATTCGTGAGCAAGAATTTTTTTCTTTCTCTTCCCCTACTGTGAATTGCTTTCGTTGTTCGGACGCTACTTGTCTTCATACTTCGAACACAGTATTTTTTCTCGTAGAAGAAAGCTAACATCCATAGTATTTGTTTAAAGGAGACAGGTAGATGAGATTTTTAGAAATAGTACTTTTTATATAAATTTTTTATTTTAATAAATGTTAAAAAATAAAATATTTTAAAAAGAAAAAATTGTCACGTCAGTAAATTATTTTGCTAATGTTAGATGAGGTGGCGATTTTTCTTTTTCACGTCAGCAGCAAAGTCACCGGTTAAAGTGGTGATTTTATCAAAAAAATTATTGACGAATTATCACAAAATTATTCTTTTAAGATTAAGAATAAGCTCAGAAGTGCAAATAAGTTTTTTTTTTTTCTTTTAAGATAACTCAAGTTAAGTCAATTTTTAATTATCTTCTCAAGCCTCTCCCCATATATTTTTCTTTTTGCTCTCTTTTTCTTTATATTGCTTTTTTTTTTCTTTCAAGATAATTTTCAATCCTTACTTTTCTTTTTTTTTTTCTTTTTATGAGAAGATTACTATATCTGTATAGCTTTTAATGATTTTGAACTTCATTATTCTCTTCATAAAATTAAAAACTTCTCATATTTCTTTACTTGATAATATTTATTAGTACAGTAATAATTTTTCATAGAGTCTCTACTTCTTTTTAAAGTGCAAATCTAAAATATTTAGTGTTTCAAATATATAATTTTTCCTTCTCTGAATAGTAAAAGCATATTCTTATACTTTTATACTAAATATCTTAAATTTAGAATTACTCTTTATTACCAAAAAAATTTACTTAGGTTTACTATAAAATTTATAAAATCAAAAATATAATTATCTAGTTAGCACTACATACCACAGGTTATGTTAAAATAATTTTAAAAATATATAGTTTATTGAGGACAAATAAAGTTTAGTTTTAAAAAGTTTGTATCTCTTACCCAAACTTCAATTTTTAAATAGTTTAAACATCAAAGTATATAAAAAGTGTGGAGAGAAACTTTTAACAAAAATAGTTATAACCGGATACTAAACATGGAAACAGTACAGGTGCAAGTAGTAAAAACAGGTGTTGAGTATTAATACATCTAAAATCAACATGTATAACATAAAAAATGCAGAGTAAAAGGCTACTCTAACACACAAACAATAAAAACTAAACTAGAGCAAGAGTAAATAGTAAAAATAAGAAATACAGTACATGTGTTCAACATACATTAAAGAATACTAAAACAAACTCAATATACATGAAGAAGCTACAACAAAAAATAATCAAGTCTCTTTAGTCATCCTCCTCTTCATTATCATCATGAGCAACATCTTCATCCATCATCTGTCTACACTCAAAAAGAGGATAATGAGGATAATTAGGAAACTCAACGCTATGGTCACTACATAGATAACTCACTAAGGAAGTGTTGAAGTTGGCTTCATAATCACTCTTCCTTTTCAAGTATTGCTCTAGGTGGTTCCAATGATCCTCATTATCATGAAGCTGACATTGCATTAAAAACATATCTGATTGAAATTCTACTGTATGATCTCTAAGTTATTCCCAAATACTGTGAGGTAGAGCAGTAGTATTGGAGGTAGAAAGTCTATAGGTAGAAGTAAATGAATATCAGAAGCTGTGCCTTGAGATCTTCCATAAATGTCCACACTAGCCTTTCTAAAAGGCTTTAGTGGCTTTAGTTGCTCCTCCCAAGTCTCACATTTCACTACAGACCCTTTGCAGATAGTAAAGATAAGGAAAGGGAAACCCAAACCTACACAAGAACTAACTCTAGCGGAGGTGTAAATGGTCTTGAAGATGAGAGAGCCAACATTAATGAGTTTCATCTTCTGAATGCAATAGTTCAAGATGGTTCTCTTACGAGTCACCTCGCACAAATGGTTTGAAGGTAGCCGTCGAGCAGAGATAAAATAGTGTCATGCCTTCGAGGGGGCATTAAGTGTGAAAGAAGAAAAGTTTACCTTATAATCGTTTCTGATCCTCTAAACTCCACGCCCATCAGTAAGGTAAGCAATAATCTCATCTAGCTCAAGCTCAGAAGGCTCAAACTCTGAATAGTAGCAATCCAGAGAAGAAGGTAAACCATATAGCACATTGATTCTCTCGAGGGTGAACTCAACTCCTCTTCCTCAAACAAATACCTCATTCTCCGAAGCTTCAAGTAGATTCACATAAAATTTTTTGAGAATCAAAATAATTGCCACGACAGTGAAGTAGCAGAAAACCTCCCAGTGTCGAGCAACAATCAGATTTTGTACCGCCCCACCAGGACTCAAAAGCTTCGCTCCACAATGAACTTCCTTGACAACAAAAAATCATCCTATCTATCTTATGTTTTGCGATTCACAAACCTCGTGTTATCAAAAACATCTTTCCCCTTTCCTCTCCTTATTTTAGAAGCCATTTCAAAAAGTCTAGAAAAATTCAAAATAAATTGCATATATTAGTTCTAAAGGCCCCTACAAGTGATTTCCAAACAAATGAAGCTTCCAACCATCGATTTCTCATTACAAAGTATAATTTTTTTCAATTTTCAGCCTCAAATCACTGTGGAAGAAATTTATAGTGAAACAATAAAATTTCTATACAAAAATATAGATCTAACCTTGAGAAGATGAAATCCACTGTTTTTAAAGCTCTAAAACTTGACGAATCGAGAGCTATAGAGAGCCCTAGGAGTCACTTTCGCGAAATGGAGGAAGAAGATGACAATTTTAGCTCAAAAATGGTGGTGGACCAGTTCAATTTGTGATTTTAAGCAATTTCGACCGGTTCAGCCGGTCTGACGATTAGGCGTCTTGCTGTGCAAACACCTGGCGCTAGGCGCCTAGGCCTCAGGTCTAAATTTTAAAAAATTTGCTTGTTAAAGTGCAGCACAACAAGCCTAAGGCCTTCAGACCAAAAATTAAATTAATTTAACATCATTCCATTAATCAATCATATTCCCAACATCTTCTAACTTCCATTTGCTTAATCATAAATTCCAAACTTTAATACATTCAAACATCCTAACACGTAAGACTTTTCACAAACAAAACACAATTTCATTCACAACAAACAAGTTTTGGTACAACTGACATAACAAAGCAACAAAAGAGATCAATCCAACACTAATACAAGTCCCATATCATGTAGTGTCGAACACACCCACTACAAATGTCGACACAATAATTGCAAACATAAACATCTAACACACTTAAACCCTCCAATGATTAGTAATTGTTGGCATAACTATCTTCCATATTTTCGATTGATAGAAAGTTACGATCATACAAGTGGTAGAAAGGAACATGAGGAAATTATACAGCAAAATTTTAGGAGTTGGATATGTAAATACATAGGAATTGGATGGTATGTATGTAAATGTTGCACATATTTAATAAATTAAAATTTATTTTTGAGTAATTATTTTCGTGTGTTGCAGCAAGGGTGCATTTGTTTGAGCTTTTAAAACTGGCTTCTGATTTTAATCGTGTTTTCTAAACATTTGTTTTGCTTGTTTCGGCGATTCGGTCCGGAACGCGGGTTTTAGTTGCTGTAGAATCTCGAACGCGAATTGAATCCCGCGCTTCGTCATTCGTGAATAAAAAAACAACCACGATTTTATTTGTTTTGCTATTATGGCCTCACCCCCGAGCTTCATATCTTCTCTCGCCTGCCCTAGGTGTTCCCCTGGGTCGTCTCACCTTATCTTGCTCTCATGCCCTAATACCCGATCTGGCACCTCCTTCTTCTTCTCCGCTCGTCTTGTAACCTCTCAAACACTCCTATTCTCTCGGTAATATCTTCCCTTTTTTTTTGTTCTGAGTTATTCCCACGGAGTTTGGAACTCGACCATCTTTCTTTATGGAATTATGCTATTAGAATTTCAAGTAGCAAATTTTTTGTTTAGTTTTTTAAGATATGGCTTCATAAGGCCCCAATCTGTTGTGTAGTTGAATTTAACTATCTTCCCTTTATTTGTGGGTGAGTCAAGTGCAAAGCTACAGGTAACCCAAACCCGTGTTTGTGATTCTACAATAACATTGTATGGTAGACATTTGTGTTGATACTGTGGAATCCAAACACAAATCTATTGTAGATATTTGTTTTAGACATGTTCAAAATTTGAGCTCTTTTGAATGTATAGTGGAATCCTAGTCTTTCTATGTCGCAAGTTCTATATTACAGGAGTGAGCACTCACAACCCTCTATTCTTTAGTTGTGGTATGTTAATTGAGCTACTCAAAAGTTTGCTTTATATACGCTCATTGTTATTAATGAAGCCTAATGTGAACTCAACCCTATCAGCTGAAATGTTTGCTACTCTTATGCTGTTGAAAGCTCCACTTGAAAAATTGCTCTATTTTTGAAATTTTGATTATATGATTTTTGTTTTATTTGATATTTTTTAGATGATATAAACTCTTCTGTGGTTTGTCATGCTTTTATGATACGTTTGCCCCTTTTGCTTCTCTGCAATGACGTAAATTGAAAATTTTAGGCTTTATTGGTGCAACCCAGCAACTGCTACTGTTTGAATTATTACGTTCACTTATGATTATGTTGTTGTTGGAAGGCATCATTTGGTTTTAACGGGTTCTCATATTATCATTGTGTGATTTCTATGTATGTTTGTTCACTAATTGTTAATAGTTGAGTTCAATTTCTCTTCCTGCATCCCCCAATGGTTCCTCAAAGATGTCAATCTTATAAGATTGAAATAGTGTAATGTTTAATTTAATTTTTTTTACTATATGCTGTTTGCTTAAAGTTTTGAAGTCA